TGTGACGGCAGCGTGGCACCCTAGTGTGACGGCAGCGTGGCACCCAAGTGTGACGGCAGCGTGGCACCCTAGTGTGACGGCAGCGTGGCACCCTAGTGTGACGGCAGCGTGGCACCCTAGTGTGACGGCAGCGTGGCACCCTAGTGTGACGGCAGCGTGGCACCCTAGTGTGACGGCAGCGTGGCACCCTAGTGTGACGGCACCGTGGCACCCTAGTGTGACGGCACCGTGGCACCCTAGTGTGACGGCACCGTGGCACCCTAGTGTGACGGCACCGTGGCACCAACTAGTGTGACGGCACCGTGGCACCCTAGAGTGTGACGGTACCGTGGCACCGTGGCAACCTAGTGTGACGGCAGCGTGGCACCCTAGTGTGACGGCAGCGTGGCACCCTAGTGTGACGGCACCGTGGCACCCTAGTGTGACGGCACCGTGGCACCCTAGTGTGACGGCAGCGTGGCACCCTAGTGTGACGGCAGCGTGGCACCCTAGTGTGACGGCAGCGTGGCACCCTAGTGTGACGGCAGCGTGGCAACCCTAGTGTGACGGCAGCGTGGCAACCTAGTGTGACGGCACCGTGGCACCCTAGTGTGACGGCACCGTGGCAACCTAGTGTGACGGCAGCGTGGCACCCTAGTGTGACGGCCAGCGTGGCACCCTAGTGTGACGGACGCAGCGTGGCACCCTTGTGTGACGGCAGCGTGGCACCCTAGTGTGACGGCACCGTGGCACCGTGGCAACCTAGTGTGACGGCAGCGTGGCACCCTAGTGTGACGGCAGCGTGGCACCCTAGTGTGACGGCACCGTGGCACCCTAGTGTGACGGCACCGTGGCACCCTAGTGTGACGGCACCGTGGCACCCTAGTGTGACGGCAGCGTGGCACACCAACAATTGATGTTTGGGGATCGCTAAGCGGGCAATCTATAAATATTTTTGCAGCCATTATTATGACCCATAAATCTATTTGTGAGAGTCTGAAGCAACAACATTCGTATTTAACGATTATTTCTGCAATTGCATGATTGTATGCACGATACAACTGCATGATTGTATGCACGATACAACTGCATGATTGTATGCACTATACAACTGCATGATTGTATGCACGATACAACTTCAAAATGACAAACTGTCAGTGGGACTTGGGAAGGGTAAGGAAATTATCAGAAAAACGCGCCAACTTATTACTACTATACAGCACTGGGAAGGGGGTCAGGATAAGGATTTGGGATGGGACGGTGGAAAGGAATGGTGCCCAACCACTTGGTGGACGGTCGGGGATTGAACGCCGACCTGCATGAAGCGAGACCGTCGCTCTACCGTCCAGCCCAAGCGGTTGGGCGCGGGAACTGGAATGGAGATGACTACAATTACATATATTTGAGGCGGTCCTCAGAGAAAATCCATTACCAAGAGAAACCTTCCCCCCCCCCCAACCCCCCCCCCCCCACCCACCCTCAAACTCCCTAGTATACAGTTATCCCTAGTTATCCCTAGTCCCTAGCTAGCAATAGTCTACTTGTAAACTGGTAAATTAACGTTTGTTAATTTACCAGTTTAACTTTAAAGCAGTGATAATTCGCAAGTTAAAACTTTATTGTGTTACAAATCGCTTGTTTAAAATATAAAAATGTATACTGAAAACGTTCTCTTTAAAGAATTAGTATTTCTGTAAACGGAATTCTCGGGCCCACTGAAATAGTTTTCGATTTCCAGATTTCACATTATCATCAATAATACACTGTATTAATATGATCTAACGTAATGAAACCTAACTTAATCTGACCTTAATCTAACCTAACCTTAACCTAACCTTAACCTCAACCTAACCTTAACTGAACCTAACCTTAACTGAACCTAACCTTAACTAAACCTAACCTTAACTTAACCTAACCTTCACTTTAACCTAACCTTCACTTTAACCTAACCTTCACTTTAACCTAACCTTCACTTTAACCTAACCTTCACTTTAACCTAACCTTCACTTTAACCTAACCTTCACTTTAACCTAACCTTCACTTTAACCTAACCTTAATCAAACATTAACCTTAACCTAACCTTAACCTAACGTTAACCTTACCTTAACCCTAACCTTAACCTAACCTAACCTTCACTTTAACCTACCCTTAATCAAACATTAACCTTAACCTAACCTTAACCTAACGTTAACCTAACCTTAACCTAACCTTAACCTAACCTAACCTAACCTAACCTAACCTTCACTTTAACCTACCCTTAATCAAACATTAACCTTAACCTAACCTTAACCTAACGTTAACCTTACCTTAACCCTAACCTTAACCTAACCTAACCTAACCTTCACTTAACTACCCTTAATCAAACATTAACCTTAACCTAACCTTAACCTAACGTTAACCTAACCTTAACCTAACCTAACCTAACCTAACCTAACCTAACCTTAACCTTCACTTTAACCTAACCTTCACTTTAACCTAACCTTAATCAAACATTAACCTTAACCTAACCTTAACCTAACGTTAACCTTACCTTAACCCTAACCTTAACCTAACCTAACCTAACTAACCTAACCTAACCTAACCTAACCTTCACTTTAACCTACCCTTACGTTGGATAGAGAGTAGATAATAACAGTAATCATGTAGTCGTTCCCAATCCATTCCTTTGAGATCATCTCCTCCCTGAAGACAGGTTGATTGTTTTGCTTGAAGAGCGAACAAGGGTGTCTAGAGCAGTTGTCCTAACGGTCGTTAGCGGTAACCATTCGTTTCCAGTTTCGGTTAACTTACATCATAATACATACAGTGTGTAGATGAAAGGGAGTTGACAGAGAGAGAGAGAAGGGAAAGGTGAGTGAGTGGAGAGAGAGAGAGAGAGAGAGGAGAGAGGAGAGCGAGGGAGAAGAGAGAGAGAGAGAGAGAGAGAGAGGAGAGAGAGAGAGAGAGAGAGGAGAGAGAGAGAGAGAGAGAGAGAGTCGAACCCTGTCCACACAAGCCAGACATTCTCAACTTAACAATGACCATTGCCAACTAAGTAGTGTACTTGTATACATGTTTTGCATATCGAGAGTATTGAGAGCACGTTACTACCATCACACAGCCAGTTCCCATCATTTGTCACTCCGTACAAATTCCAACCTATCTAGCCTAATCAGAAACTACGAAGCCAAGCAAGCCTCCTAATGTGATGTTGCTAGTTGAAATCAGCAATCTGTGTTGCTGATTTTGTGTGTTCCTCTATGCCTCTCCTTTATCTGTCTTCCTCTCCTCCTCCTCTTCTGTCTTTCCACTTCCAGCGTCTTACATTCTTGGCACGAAGTGTCTCGAACTTTAGGCAAATTTTTCCCATCAAATTCCAAAAGTTTGGTAGAAAATATATTTGAATCTACAACGGACTCGCTTCAGCCCTTCCCCCCTTTTTAGTAAGAAGTTAAATAAGATAATAAGACTATATGGCATCGAACCAGCGTCCCTGGACGCCACATGTACTACCAACTCAACCATGATGGTGTATAACAGTCAGCTGTTCAAAATAATGATGTATTCTTGTGTTAATGGATAGTATTGGTCCAAGGACTGACCCCTGCGGTGTGTGTGTGTGTGTGTGTGTGTGTGTGTGTGTGTGTGTGTGTGTGTGTGTGTGTGTGTGTGTGTGTGTGTGTGTGTGTCTTTAGTCATATATTGTCTATAAATCATTTCTAATGTAAATTGTAATTTCCACTTTCTGTGACCCAACAGGTTGTGATGGCGGGCGCGGGGCGGCGTGTGTCGGGCGTGGGGGAGGCTGGGCGCCGGCGCGGAGGCTCCAACACCTGGCCCATAGCCAACCAGAGGGCGCGGGTGGCCTGGCTAGGCCTATGTGTGCTGGCCAGTGTGGTGGAGGGCGCCGTGGGAGCCGCCGCCGGGTCCAGGAACAACGTAGGCGTGGGGGACTCGAACCGGAACATCCAGTGCCCGTCCCTCCACGAGATCTCCCCCTGCACTTGCCGGGTTATGACAAAAGGCAAGGAATCCGGTTAGGAAGCGTTCTCCTCTCCCACGTTTAACTTGACTAGATGTTGGTAGAGCGTGTGTAGGCCGTGGGGCGGCGTGGGCCCGCTGACTCGCGCGTGGGGGCCCACAGTCGTGGGCGTCGTGTATGGCCCGCGTGGCATGTGCTGTGGCCGCCCCCGCTCCTGTGTGGTAGAGGACGGTGTTGTGTCGCCAAAAGTCTTGTGGCTCTGTCTCCCACCTTCGTCTTGTCTCTATCCTCTTCCTCACCTTCCTTCCCCCCCCCCCCTTCTTCCTCACCCTTCCCCCTCTTCCCTCCAAAAGTGGCCCCTACAGTTCCCTCGCTTCACCTCTGCCCGCCTCTCCAGGTATGGTGGTCCAGCCCATGGTCTGTTGTGGTGGTCCGTCTTGGGAAGGTCGTCGCCAGGAGCCACTAAGAGACGGTCCACCTGTGTTCGGGGTCTCAGCTTAGCATTAGAAAACACCTGCCACATACCACTGATTCCATTACCAAACACGAATGAGATAATTATAGTTAGCTGGGATCTTAAACCAAGAACACTGATCTTTCGCTCCAGGAAGTCATTTTAATATCTTGATAGGTTTGAAGAGACGACTGCAGATCTGTTGAGTGCGTTACCAAATAACATCATACAGACTCTGTGGAATGTTTGAAGAGTCAGAGCAGTCAAGGTTGTGGTAAGAAATAGGCCTTGAATGTAGGAATAGGTCTGCAGATGCCTGAAATATTGTTCTAATGACCTGTTGTGGTGGTTTGTTGTGGTGGTCCAGGTCCTGCTAGTATGACCTGGCCAAAAATATGCTATAGAATATATTCCCTGGAAGCTCTTATCTCTCTCTCACACATCTGACGTGTCTGTCAGTGAAGGAAGCAGCTCGGGATGAGCTTCCCCCTGAACCAAAGCTGACGTATTACTGGCTCTTAACCCCCCCCCCCCTCCAAGGTAGGAGGGAAGAGCCAGATCAGAGTAGCAGTGCAGTTCTTCAGGTGTCCAGGATGGCCCAACCTCTCAGGGCTTAATACTATTTTGCTTCGTTAAACACTCACTTATATCTGAAGACTCACACATACACACACACACATTGTGTGTGTGTAGATGTGGGGGAATAGGGATTCGCTCCCTAAACTAAACGTGGGAAGTGAAGTTAGTGGAAGTTGCAGAAAGAAACTTCTTAACCCAACATGTAAAGGAGGACATAAGAGAAAGGGGAGGAGATACACCAAGTCTACTGGACTTGATCTTCACCCAGAGTGAGGAAGACATTGAGAACATAGAGCATGAAATACCACCAGGAGCAAGTGACCATTGTGTCCACCAGGAGCAAGTGACCATTGTGTCCACCAGGAGCAAGTGACCATTGTGTCCACCAGGAGCAAGTGACCATTGTGTCCACCAGGAGCAAGTGACCATTGTGTCCACCAGAAGCAAGTGACCATTGTGTCCACTAGGAGCAAGTGACCATTGTGTCCACTAGGAGCAAGTGACCATTGTGTCCACTAGGAGCAAGTGACCATTGTGTCCACCAGGAGCAAGTGACCATTGTGTCCACCAGGAGCCAGTGACCATTGTGTCCACCAGGAGCCAGTGACCATTGTGTCCACTAGGAGCAAGTGACCATTGTGTCCACCAGGAGCAAGTGACCATTGTGTGACCATTGTGTCCACCAGGAGCAAGTGACCATTGTGTCCACCAGGAGCAAGTGACCATTGTGTCCACTAGGAGCCAGTGACCATTGTGTCCACCAGGAGCAAGTGACCATTGTGTCCACCAGGAGCCAGTGACCATTGTGTCCACCAGGAGCAAGTGACCATTGTGTCCACTAGGAGCAAGTGACCATTGTGTCCACCAGGAGCCAGTGACCATTGTGTCCACCAGGAGCCAGTGACCATTGTGTCCACCAGGAGCAAGTGACCATTGTGTCCTGGTGTTCACTACATGATGGACCTCAGAACAGTGCCCATAAGACCAGGAGTCCGGGGCAGACTACACAAAAGGAGACAACATACAAGCAAGAGAGTGTCTGGGAAGTGAACACTGAGAGGAGGACCTCAGAGGGAAGACGGTCCAGGAAATGATGGACCAAGTCAAACTGAGGTGCAAAGAGGCAGAAGAGAGATTCATACCACCATTAAGGGTAAAAATTAATATAACATATAATATCCCGGGGTTCAATAGACAGTGCCAGGAAGCAAAATACAAAAGCAGGAGGGAGTGGAGGAAATACAGAAGACAAAGAACAGAGGGAATAGATGCAACAGTGCCAGAAATGACTGTATAAACATAAGAACATTGGCATACTTAAACTAGATAAAGATATGAAAAGACCAGATATGGACACCAGATGTAAAGACCAGATATGAAAATATATCTTTATAAACATAGATAAACTATGAAAAAGAGATTATCTCCAAAGCAAAGAGCACACTGAAACTCCTACATAGTCATATAATAAAGAAAATGATAGTGAATGACCAAGTGACCAGGTTATGAATGAGGGAAGGTTGATAGAGCTAGTAGACTGCTGACAACTCTGGTTGATAGAGCTGGTAGACTGCTGACAACTCTGGTTGATGGAGCTGGTAGACTGCTGACAGCTGGTTGATGGAGCTGGTAGACTGCTGACAACTCTGGTTGATGGAGCTGGTAGACTGCTGACAGCTGGTTGATGGAGCTGGTAGACTGCTGACAACTGGTTGATGGAGCTAGTAGACTGCTGACAACTGGTTGATGGAGCTAGTAGACTGCTGACAACTGGTTGATGGAGCTGGTAGACTGCTGACATCTGGTTGATGGAGCTGGTAGACTGCTGACAACTGGTTGATAGAGCTGGTAGACTGCTGACAGCTGGTTGATGGAGCTAGTAGACTGCTGACAGCTGGTTGATGGAGCTAGTAGACTGCTGACAGCTGGTTGATGGAGCTAGTAGACTGCTGACAGCTGGTTGATGGAGCTAGTAGACTGCTGACATCTGGTTGATGGAGCTAGTAGACTGCTGACAGCTGGTTGATGGAGCTAGTAGACTGCTGACAACTGGTTGATAGAGCTGGTAGACTGCTGACATCTGGTTGATGGAGCTAGTAGACTGCTGACAGCTGGTTGATGGAGCTGGTAGACTGCTGACAACTCTGGTTGATGGAGCTGGTAGACTGCTGACAGCTGGTTGATGGAGCTGGTAGACTGCTGACAGCTGGTTGATAGAGCTAGTAGACTGCTGACAACTCTGGTTGATGGAGCTGGTAGACTGCTGACAACTCTGGTTGATGGAGCTGGTAGACAGCTGACAGCTGGTTGATGGAGCTGGTAGACTGCTGACAGCTGGTTGATAGAGCTAGTAGACAGCTGACAACTCTGGTTGATGGAGCTGGTAGACTGCTGACAACTCTGGTTGATAGAGCTGGTAGACTGCTGACAACTCTGGTTGATGGAGCTGGTAGACTGCTGACAACTGGTTGATAGAGCTGGTAGACAGCTGACAGCTGGTTGATGGAGCTGGTAGACTGCTGACAACTGGTTGATAGAGCTGGTAGACAGCTGACAACTGGTTGATGGAGCTAGTAGACAGCTGACAACTCTGGTTGATGGAGCTGGTAGACAGCTGACAACTCTGGTTGATGGAGCTGGTAGACTGCTGACAACTCTGGTTGATGGAGCTGGTAGACAGCTGACAGCTGGTTGATAGAGCTGGTAGACAGCTGACAGCTGGTTGATAGAGCTAGTAGACTGCTGACAACTCTGGTTGATGGAGCTGGTAGACAGCTGACAACTCTGGTTGATGGAGCTGGTAGACTGCTGACAGCTGGGTGATAGAGCTAGTAGACTGCTGACAGCTGGTTGATAGAGCTAGTAGACTGCTGACAGCTGGTTGATAGAGCTAGTAGACTGCTGACAGCTGGTTGATAGAGCTAGTAGACTGCTGACAGCTGGTTGATAGAGCTAGTAGACTGCTGACAGCTGGTTGATAGAGCTAGTAGACTGCTGACAACTCTGGTTGATGGAGCTGGTAGACTGCTGACAGCTGGTTGATGGAGCTGGTAGACTGCTGACAACTCTGGTTGATGGAGCTGGTAGACTGCTGACAGCTGGTTGATGGAGCTGGTAGACTGCTGACAACTCTGGTTGATGGAGCTGGTAGACTGCTGACAGCTGGTTGATGGAACTAGTAGACTGCTGACAACTCTGGTTGATGGAGCTGGTAGACTGCTGACAACTCTGGTTGATGGAGCTGGTAGACTGCTGACACTTGGTTGATGGAGCTAGTAGACTGCTGACAGCTGGTTGATGGAGCTGGTAGACTGCTGACAGCTGGTTGATGGAGCTAGTAGACTGCTGACAACTCTGGTTGATGGAGCTAGTAGACTGCTGACAGCTGGTTGATGGAGCTAGTAGACTGCTGACAACTCTGGTTGATGGAGCTGGTAGACTGCTGACAACTCTGGTTGATGGAGCTAGACCAGGGTCACCACCACCTGGGGGACCATAGACCAGAGTCACCACCACCTGGGGGACCATAGACCAGAGTCACCACCTGGGGACCGTAGACCAGAGTCACCACCTGGAGGACCATAGACCAGGGTCACCACCACCTGGAGGACCATAGACCAGAGTCACCACCTGGGGACCATAGACCAGAGTCACCACCTGGGGACCATAGACCAGAGTCACCACCTGGAGGACCATAGACCAGAGTCACCACCACCTGGGGACCATAGACCAGAGTCACCACCACCTGGAGGACCATAGACTAGAGTCACCACCTGGGGACCATAGACCAGAGTCACCACCTGGGGACCATAGACCAGAGTCACCACCTGGAGGACCATAGACCAGAGTCACCTGGGGACCATAGACCAGAGTCACCACCACCTGGGGACCATAGACCAGAGTCACCACCACCTGGAGGACCATAGACCAGAGTCACCACCACCTGGGGACCATAGACCAGAGTCACCACCTGGGGACCATAGACCAGTCACCACCTAGGGACCATAGACCAGATTCACCA